TGTCATTGGTATTTGTATTTGTTGAGCAAATGCTGGTTGTTTTTTTCCATTTGATTCCAGAAGCCGGTGAGGTTGTCACTGTGGCCGATCTCAGTTTCCATGCTTTGTGTAGAATTTTTAGTGTGTAGTTAGAAATATGTTATTTTTTATGAAGATGGCTGAATGGGTTGTTAAATTTGCCAATGGCCAAATCCAATAGAGTGTTGTCTGTTAGCTTGAATGTTGTAGTAAAGTCGATTTCTTTGATATTTTTAGAATTGAGGTCATGAATGAGGTTTTCGAGTTTGAGCTTCTTTTTGTTTAATAGGGGTTTAATGTATGTGCAAGAAAAGATATGTAGAAGGTCCTCTGGGTATGCATCACATATTGGGCACAAGTTGTCAGGGTAGAGGCTGGGGTATCGTTTGTGAAGTTTTGTTTTGATTGGGAGTTGGTTTGCGAAGAGTTTGGTTCTGAATGTGGATAGTGCCTTGTATTTTGTTTGGTCAGATTTTTTGAGTTTGTTGTTTGCTTTGATAATGGTTTTGAGTTCCTCAAAGGAGGAGGGTTTGTATGTGGCTGATTGACTCAGGAAGATATCAAAGAGATTGGTGTAGTAGTTTACAAATTTGATCCAGTGGGTAATACTTGTTGCATGTGTATTGTTGATTAGTGGTGATGATGTAAATGTTAAGGAAAGGCACTGAGGAACTGGTGTGTTAATTTTTATGTTTGTGTTTGGTGGTGGCTGGTGGTTTTTCAATTTGTGCCATGAGATAGTAAAGTCTTTTTCAATTATGAGAGTGTTACATTTGTTGATAAGTCTGCTGAAGGGAGTTTTTATTGATCTGTTAATGTAATTCGAAACCTTTATATCAGGAATTTTGTTGAGAAAAATGTTGATAATTGATGTTTCTGGGGTGTCGACTAGGGTTTGATAGAGTACTGGCCAAAAAACATTCCAGAAGTTAAGGTGAAGTGTATATGTAAGCATATACGATAGTTTGGATACTATCATATTGTTATTGTTTTTGTCGTGATAAAGGTGTATGATTGTTGATCTGTTGATTGGATGTGGTGGAGAGATTAGTATTTGTGGAATTGATTGTGGTATAGGGAAGAAGGATTCAGTTAGCTCCTGAATGTTATTGAGTAGGTATGTAGAGTTAAGACGCAAGGTATGCCAAATGAACTTAAGGACGTTTATGTTTTTCTCCATGATACAGGGCTGTACTGGGCATGAGCATGAAATTATTTCCTTGTTGTTAAGTAGATAGTGCTTGCCTCTGATGGTTGTGGATCTGATGGCATAGCTGCGTGGAAAAAGAGTGAATTCTATGAGTATAGCGACGAAATCTTATATAAAAAAAGACCAACAAAAAAAGAATCACTGATTATACATGATACAAAAATACAAGGTTGAGCCGATCCGCTTTTTAATGCACTAACATTCAACAGGTGCCTATTTCAGTAAGGAAGTCATGTTCGAAAAAATTTGTGACGTTTACTTCTGGCCACAGATGTACAAAGATATTAGGAAATACGTCAACAGTTGCGACTCATACCAGAAGAGAGGAACAAGAAGTACACTTGGGCCGCTACATCCTATACCAGTAACCACCCCTTTTCATCGGATCGGAATAGATTTTGTTGGGCCCTTCCCGTATATTTCTAGACTTAACCATTATATTCTGGTCACTGTTGATTATATGACGAAGTGGCCAGAAGCAAAGGTGGTAAGAAGGGCTGATGCCACTACTGTTGCCGAATTCCTGTATAACAAGATTGTATACAGGTACAGTTGCTTGCAGTACATCATCTCGGATTGAGGAACGCATGTTTGAAACTACACAATCCAAGAATTAGTGGCTAAATTTGAAAAAAAGCATTGTTTGACTATACCTTACCACCCTTAAACGAATGGGTTAACCAAACATTTCAATAAAATGCTGTGCGAAGCTATAGCTAAGTTGTCTGAATGTAACATTGACTGGGATCTATTACTGCCTTCAATTCTCTTTGTATATAGAATGGCAAAGAACTCCACAACAAAGATGTCCCCTTTCTTTTTGATATATGGAAGGGATGTGCGACAACCCATACACCTGAGTTCCACCATGGATATGCTAGACGGAACTATCCTACAAAGAACTTTTGACCTAATTGAACAACTCCCAAGAGCTCGGCAAAATGCAATTCACCATATACAGCAAGCTCAAATTCAACAGAAAACTTATCACGACAAGTGATACTCGAAGTTCTTCAAATACAACATAGGAGATAAAGTTCTTATGTATAGAATCACCCTACAATATTCGTGAAGCAATAAGTTTGATCCCAAGTGGTGAGGACCGTTTTACATACATGACCGATTATCTGATCACACCTATTAGTTACGCATGATGAATAGCAAAGTACTTGCATCCCTGATAAATATCCAGAATCTAAAGAAACCCCACAAAAGGAAATAATAAAAAAAAAATAATAATAATAATGAAAATAAAGGAATAGAAATGAAAATATAATAATTCTATAAAGAATGTGTAGTATGCATAGAATAAGTGTAGGGAAATGTAACAGGGAAAAATGGGACATAATTGTAATCACGTGATCAATAGTTATGACAATGGTAAGTCAGTTGTAATAATTAGGTAACAATGAGTGACAAAGGAAATTGATGAGAGAAATTATGTAAGATAGCCTAAGTCCCATTATTGTACTATAGCTTATTATTTTGTACCCAAGCCACCATAGCCAATTGTAAAGAAAAAGAAGTATAAAAAGAATGTAAATTGTAAAGAGACACGATAGTGAAGTAGTGAAGAAGTAAGAAAATTAATAAAGACTCGATCAAATACAAACACACCTAAAATCACCCATTCATTTATTATCTCAGTAACAGTTATGCGAATCTCTGCTAGAGTTAGTGGCTAACTCGTCATTACACTGTTACACTATAAAGGTGTTCTTTCCATAGACCTTTTAGGTGGGTTTTTTATATTTAGTTACAAAAGTAAACAAGAAAAGTGTTTTGAAAAAGAAAAATAAAACAAGTGGTAACTTCTGCTTGCTTGGCTGGTTAAAACCAGTATTGTTTTTAAGGAAAGTGTATAGACTTTATTAACATAAAGACAAAAAATCTTTTGAGAATGTCTGTTTTTGGGTTGGCAAAAGAATTAGCAAAAAGAGTTTTTTTTTTTTTTTTATAGTGAGGAAGTTACTTTCTTCCTATAAAAGAAGGTATGGAATCGTTTTACCACCAGGTATTTTTATGGCTACCTCTGATATGCCTGGTAGTTAGGTAACTAATGCTTACCAGAATAATCATATCAGTTTCACTTCTAAGGTGTCAGTACTACTATGAGATTCGACCCCATAATTTTTCTCAACATCTTGGATCTCTTATAGAAGACAGTTTCTTATGTTTTTATGATAGATCTGAATCCAGGTTGTCACTGGTTAGGAATTATCTAACAATGAGTTTCTTGTCTATATTTTATACTAGCCCTTATAGATGACGATGTCATAGTAGTCAGGCAACTGATGTTTATCACAATGACCCCTGTGAATTGATCCAACAGGCATGTACTGCCATCACTCAGTATTGAACTTGCAACCTCCTTACAGAGGTACTAGTCCTTATACCAGTACGCTAAGTTTCCATAGGAACTTTAAATTAAATTAATTTATATTAAATATTTAAAAAGTTATTTAATAAATAAAATTACTATTGAAAATTTAAAATTATTATTATAAATTTAGAATTATAATTTCTTGTAAAAGTTTTTATTTTATTATATAAATTGATATTAATAAATTAAGTAGATATATTTATTATAATGAATTCTATCTATAATAAAATTTTTTTTTAATTTTAGTGAAATTATTATAAAATAATATGTAATTTTAAATAAATACAAATTGTTAAATAAAATATTAAACTTTATTCAAATTTAACAAAAATTTTACTGAATATAGAATTAAATATTATAAATATATTTACTTAATATACCAAAGTTAATTTAGCTAGTAAAATTAAAAGTTTTATATGTACTAATTATTATAAATAAATTATAAAATAAATTAATTTTTTAAAAATTTCTGTATATTTATAACTTAAATATAATATTTAATTTATTTGGTTAATTTATATAAATAAGTATATATATAATATAATATATATAAAAAGTTTTACTTATAATAAAAAATCTAAGATTTATAATTCTTTAAAATTTTTTGTTGCATTGAAATAAGAATATTCATATACAGTAATTATCATTTAAATATAATTTAGAATTTTGTTCAATAAAATATAAAAGTGTATTGATGCATTTAATCACTTTAATAAGTTTTACTTTTTTCTGTTGAACTGAATTGATAATATCTTTATTTGTAATATTTAAATTTACAATGAATTATTAATTTCAATATAATCATTTATATCAATAATATCTTTATAATTATATGGTAATTGATCAATTAATTCTTCCATTTCCTCTAAATTTTGTTGTGAAAATAGAATTATTTCTCCAATAACAGTACTATCAGAAGCAGGAGTTTGAGGATAATCTGTTTCTTGAGAAAATTGTAAAGGTAAAATAATATCAGTTTTTTTCCAACAATTTGAAATAATATTAGAATTAACATTATTCCAAGCTTTCTCAATTCAATATAATGCATGCTTGATATTGATTTCTTCAAGAATTGTTTCAGTATTGTATGTCAAATTAAATTAATCTACTTTAAATTTTACCAACAATCTTCTATATTGTGCATATATAAATTAAATAAATTAAATTAATATATTTAAATAATAAAATAATAAATATTTAATATTTACCTTAAATGAATAAATTATTTCTATATCTATTGGTTGTAAATGAGCTGTTGTATTGGCAGGTAATGGATACAATACAATATTTGACAAATTCTTTTATTTTAAAGAATTTTCATTAACATGAGCAAATGCTTAATCATAAAGAAGAATAATAGATCTATTTTCTTCTTTTATTTGAGTATTTAATTAAATTAAAAACTCATTTCAAATCATAGTAGCTATCCAAACAGTTTTATTCCAATACTAATTAACTAAAAGATCTTTTTTCTTAATTTTGTTTAATGCCTGGGGTAATTTATAATAATGAATTGCCAAAGGCTTAATTTTTATAAAACCTAATAAATATACAAATATAAATAAATCAAATTATTATAAAAATCAAATCCTTTAATACCTGTAAAATTTGAACAAAAAAGAATTGTCACTCTTTGCTTGTTCTTTTTTTTTTCAATTATTGTTTTTTTAGTAAGAGATTTTGAAGGTTCAATTTTCCAATAAAGATCTGTTTCATTATAATTAAATATATTTTCTAAAGGTTAATCCCTTAATAATTCTTGTAAAGATTCTCTAAATCTGGAAAGTTCTTTCAATGGAACACTATTTCCTTCTCCATGATATAAAAATTGTTTTAAATTTACTTTTTTTTTTAAATTTGTTAACCAGACTTCTGATGTATTAAAATTTGAAATTTTTAGAAGTTTGATAAATTCCTGGGTTTGGTATATTAAAATAAATTCTGTAATGATTAAATTTACTTTTAATATTTTGTCAATCCATAATATTAATATTTTTTCTAATAAAGGATATTTAAAATATTTTTTTTCTTTGAGCTTCAAAACTGCTAAGATCAATATTAAGCCAATAGTTATTGTCTTTTAGAATTTTAGAAACAGTATTATACCTAATATTATATTTTTGGGCCAAAGTTTTAATTTGGATATCAGAATTTGTTTGTTTTGACAAACAAAGTACATGTTTTTGATATCTATTTAAAGTGTGTTTAGCAAATCTAATATTATGTCTTATTTTTGTTTGATATAATAATTGTAAAAATAGAATAAAAGTTTAAAGAGAATTTGATGAATTAACATAAAATGTGCACACATATACAATAAAAATAATTGATATAAGAATATCAATTATTTTTATTCCCCAAATTAATTTTGTACCCTAAGTAATTATATCAAAAATTCTATTAATTTTTTTTAAGAGCTAAAATATAATACACATATGACTTTATTATAAAATCGGTTAGGATTACAAGTTCTTATACACATGAACAGTTTATTAACTAATGCTAATATTAACTGATGCTACCTGCTCTTTTTACCAGGATACTAACTTAACACTTTGTAAGTGTGTCCATATCCTGGTTTATACTTAGTGAAGTCTGATCTTAATCAAAAATTTTACTAATTTTATTAATAATTTAATAATTTTTTTTATAAAAATATGTATTGTTATTATAAAATTTTAATTAAAAAAACTTAATAAATATAAAATTATTTAATTTAAATTAATAATTATAAAAAAATCTTAATAAAATATTGAAAATTTAATAACTTTATTTTTTTTTAATGTTAGAGTGAGGTATTACTCATAATCTTTATTAATAAAGTAAAAGTTTAACTTGTTACATGATTAATACTAAGATATAAATTATGTCACTATAAATATTAACCTACTACCCATTAAACAAATATATCATCTGAAAAACTCTTGAGCAGAGAAAACCTGAGAAATTATTTGTTGTAAAAAATAAAAAAAACATTTGGGGCAAGATCACTGGCAATGTATAACATTTGGTTGAAAAGAAAAAGAAAAAAAAATTTGAAACTTTTGTTATATGTGGTTCCTGAATGCAATTAGATGTTTCAGTCGAATGTTGGTACCACGCAAGCCACATATAACTCAATGGATTTGGTCGTGTGATATTTTGTGATGTTGTTGTTGTGTGATTTGGTCGTGTTGTAATATAAATAATAGAATAACTGGAATATATTCCAGATATCTATTATATTGTTGTGGTGGAATGTCATGTATTATGATTACCGAAACTTGCGCAGGGTACTGATTATGCACTCTTCCAATCTGATAGGTTGTTATGTTATTTTGGTGTATTAAAGTGATACGGAATGTGATTGGTGTTTTGTGTATTGCAAATCATTAGATGGGGTAAACTGGTTGTGATTTTTGTGTTAAAATTTGTGAGTGAGGACTGGTAACTAGCCAAAAGATTATATGAAATCTAGTACTAGTTATTATTAGCAGAAAACAAAAAAAAACTAAAAAAATAAAATACTGCCTCTTGAGAATAAGATTGTTTTTGAGTTAAGGATGAAAGATATGATTGTTTTGTAGCAGTTATGTATAGAGATGGCCTTCATATAGAGAATTTTCTTTTTATTTGTC